CTAATTGCCGCACATTGGGTCGAGTGAATGAAAGAGATCAGACAAGAAATGTTCGACTGAAACTGCAAATATTGATGCTTATTTCATCACATTTTAAATTTCAAGGGGTGTTAATGGAGGAAAATTTTACGAGGAAACCAATGGAACCACTTTAAGACCTCAAAGTTTAGTATAAACGGAGTAATAAGCTTTTAAAGTTTCCGAATTTTGTCCGACCTTTCCTATATTAACTCGACCCACTGTATGCCGCCTGGTGAACCAGTTATTTTGGAGATGGCACCGTCCCTACCAAGTTCTCTGCTCCTTATTTGGACGTATTTATTCTAAAAGGAACTATTTATTTATTTAAAATTTAGTACATAGACTCCCTTTAAGGGATCGTACAAGTCGTAGGTACAAATGAATCAGATACAGAATGATTTAAATCAGGCAATGTAAGAAAAAAATAAGAAAATGACAGAGCAAAATAAGAAAATGGAAAATAATAAAAGCTATGGAACTATGTGCATAGAGGATGCGTCCAATAAAGGTCCTTTTAGCATGAATACGTCCATTGGATTCAGTGCCATATCTTTTTCATTATTTATGTATGTGACATCGCGCACAAAATATATTTGTGTTTATATTGCAGCTTCACACCTTCTTCTAGATCAAAAATCGTCGCTTCCCTGACATGAGGGCATATCTCCATTTCCACGTGAGCTAGAGAAGGCATGCAGTTATATAGGCAACAAGGCTTACTTGAGAATACAAATACGTCCTTACGTCGGAAGAACAATGAAATAATTGAACTGCTTCACGCATTGCGCAATGCTTGAAGTATCCCATTAGGTTTGAAGGCGCCTATGCGCCTGGTTGCCCACCGCCGGCCGCGCTGCGGAGTGCCCTGGCGCTTCAAGGAACTATTTCACATCAGAGGTATTGCATAGCATCATACGAAATTGAAAGCGCTCCAACTTATTATGAATGACAGGCATCCTTTAAGAGTACGAAGCTTTCCTCGCAAAATAAATCAAGATACCACGGCACCAAAAGCGAGCGGTAGTCCAAAAACTCACGAAAACCTTACTTAATATATAATTATTTACATCCGTTTTTAATAACGTTTAGCAAAATTTTTGTAAACCATTAGAAAAAAGTGATTAGACTTAGGCCGAAACATTCTTGAGTATGCCGTCAAGAAGATTTTACGACACCTTACGGTAATGCTTTTAATAGAATCGGTTTCTGTTAGACAGGCGTAGGTCCAAAAACTCACGATCCCTTGCGTCCTGTGTTATCAACGAAAACCAGGGCTCATGAGTTTTTCGACTTACACCTGTCTAACGGAAACCGATTCAATACAGGTCTCAAAATCCACTTTTATAACCCAACTCGATTTAAATTGCTCTCCTAAAAGTTTTTCTTTCGTTGATCAAGGATTCCTTCTCTCAAAAGGAATGTTAAAAAAAAATTAGAATGCATACTCCACAGATGAAATAAAAAGAGCACGCTACCTGATTTTAAGAAATTTATTTTCATAATCCAATCGGAGCAATAAGATGAACTTAGCTAATATAAAAAAGGACAATACTTAAAAATTATAAAAAAAATGTTTTAAAGAATATTATCTAGTATCAATTTTCTTTTACATGGTACTGAAGCAACTAAGATTCAAATGAACAAAAGTAAAGGAACCTTTCCCTCAGCTTTTCAGAAATCGACCAAAATATGACATTCACTGAAAAATACGTCTGTCGGGTCCAGAGTCCAGGCTCTTAAAAATTTGGCAAGTAAAATTATCCTTTTCTCGATCGGATTTTTACTTGAATCGAGAGCCAAGCCTTTTAATTTCAGCGAATTTCCTTTTGATTCAAGCAATAATCCGATTGAATCAAGAGTATTTTTTCATGTCAAAGTTTCTAAGAGTCTGGACTCTGGATTCGAGAGACTTTTTCTTCCAAAATTAGAAAATAAGTAATATCATTTCGGTTCAATATGAGCTGGAGTTACAAGAGACTCCGCTATCATACAATTCTCAAATCCATTAAAAAACGACTAACCACTAACATTTCACATTTATCTCAATTTAGTACAAATTAGATTATATTTTGCAATAAGAAATTACTATTTCTGGCTCATTACAGAAACAACATATTTGCCATTAGTTTCCCTACGTGGATACGTGCTTTTATGGTAGAGCCAGAGCTATAGTGTCTGAGTCCTAGTCAGAATTTCAAGTAGAGCACGATTCGCACAACGAAATTTACTTAAACCGACTCCTAACGAAGACATTAACGTTTTTATTTCACATTGGTTACGAGGAATTTGAACTGCCCGCTCACAAGAAACTCAAAGCTCTACGTGAATCAAATCGCGCACTACAACGGTTTCAGTAAGCTCCTCTGTCGAGCAATGTTCATGTCGCACCATGTGTTGTTCAAACTATAAGCAATTTGCCATAGCTGAGCCAAATCGTCAAGATTGAGGTTGCCAGATTTTTTTTATCGCAGAGACGTTCATGATAACGTTTAGCGCGCGATGTGAATCACGTACAGCGTTGATTTTTCATGAGCGGGTGGTTTGAATTCACGCATCAAGAATCAATAAATATCTTCGTAAGGAGTTAACTTCGGTAATTTTCGTTGTGTGCATCGTGTTTTACGTGAAATTTTGGTGAAGAAACATGTATCAGAATGCTGAAATTCGTAACTTATCTAGTGGTCCATTGATCCACAGAGCGACAGGAGCTGTGAACGCAATCCAAAATGTGTCACTCGATTTTCGGATTCGGTTACACCGGAGCGTATCTACCGTTTCGATAGACATTACTGTTCCTAATTGATTACGCGGAGCGATCCAGATCGCCTCGAAATGTCCCGGTCATTGCTTAAAACACACGATGAACGGTTTCGTTCCAGGCGTGGAAAGTTCGTCAAGCTAACCACCATCTCAGGATTCAAAAACCTCGTAACCCCCACAGAATTAAAACAGATATCCGCGGTTTTTGTATGGCACAGCGGAGCAGGACTGACAACGGAAGAATCAGAGTTTGACGACCGAATTGATGGAACGATCTTGACCAGTGGGGAAGTGTCACGTTGACACTCTCGAAAGGACTAGAAAATACTGCCGTGATAGCGGAGAGCGCGTATAGGTCCAGAGAGCATCAACCAGTTGAGATTAAAACTTAAAAATAAGGCGTATTATAGTCTGAAAGAATTCTGTGAAGACCCTTCATAATTCATTTTAAATTCATTTTCATTTTTCATTTTTTTCATCCATTCCAGGGCCGGATTAAGGGGGTGGCCACATGGGCCGCGGCCCATGGCGGCAAATCTAAGGGGCGGCAAAAATTTGCAATTTTTTAAAGTGTAGGTATAAAAAAAATCGGATTTATAAAAGCAAAATTATAAACGAGAAAAGGCGACAAATTCTCTCATTTCCTGAGAGTATAGTAATTTCTAATTTTTTCATCTCTTAGTGATACAAGAGACAGCACCCTTAATAAGTCGAGTTACGAGAGAAACCAAACACGCAATTTGGCCTAGAACGGCGCGACGAAAACGAATGATATGATAACGAGGACTTGAGTTGAAAAGGAGAAGCCCTCGGCGCGGCGATCGGCATGTAACACATATTAGCGCCTACAAGACTGCACGAATACTTCACGCTTGGCATCAAACACAGTGCGGTAATTGCGGTCAGCATGAAACGGATAGCGCCTACAAGAATGCATGAATACTTCACGCATTGCGCCAAACACAGTGCGGTCAGCGTGAAACGCATAGCGCCTACAAGACTGCGTGAATACTTCACGCATTGCGTCCAACACGGTGCGGTCTGCGCGGCGCGGCGGCGGAAGTTAAAATCGTTGAACCACATTTATGTTTGTTCTTTCATAATTTTTTCGTTCATTTCTTATGAATGGAAGGCCTTGTCCACACAGAGATAGGTTTACGGAACTTAATTTTCGCGCAAAGTCTCGTGAACTTTTGCTAGTAGTGTTGACAGGGCTTTCCCAAAAAATGTATTCAACACGAGTAAATGCGTCTTATGCACCCCTCCCCCGCTGGCACGTTCATTTGATGGTTTTTATTGAGTTTCAAAACGAATGAGAAGGGGGCGGCAAAATATAGGCGGCCCATGGGCGGCAAGTAGGTGAATCCGGCCCTGATCCATTCCCTGTCAAATTGCCAATAATCATCCAAAACACTCTCGGAAAGCGTTCGGATGATTAAAAATCGACCGATTACTTCAATTACATAAAAAGAGTCATTGTTCATTTTCATGTTAGGCTAGAGTTATGCAAGACAGCCGTAAGTGCTATCTCCTGCATTCTTTTGTGGTCGCGTATGGAGACACAAGTCACAACCAACACATTTTCAGGTCAGAAATTGGCAGAAAGGGGCGGCACTTCACTTGAAAGCACTGATTTCATTCGCTCTCTGGAGGAATAATGTCACTAACTGCTGTCCTGCCTGGAACCACGTCATTTATTGCGGATACTGACGGTCGCCAATGTCTCGTTTATATATACAATTATGATGAATTATGCTGTTTTAGCTATTTCAGTGATTTCATCTAACAAAGATAAGTCTAATTTTGAGGGAAACTCGATTTCGAAAATTCGACACTTACTGCTCTCTTCGCTATCACGTCGGAGTACGCGTTTTGAGTTGATACAGATTGAGATGGACAAGCGTTACTGATAATCTAGAGGCCGCGGCAGACGATCAAATTTCAAACCGATGGTTCACCAAACCTTGTGTTTTTTATTTAATATTCTAAAAGTACCGGGAGAGTAGATTACGCGGTGTTTTATTGCGTATTTTTCGAGCCAAAACCCTGGACAATCTCCCTTTTAAAAAGTGCAAAAACGTGACGGAATCTCAATTTCGTTGGAATGGCGGGAAAACGATGGGAATGATGTGCTACGGGAGTCAAGTTGCTACCTCCTCTCATTTTCCACCGATGTTAATGGGAAAAAAAACGTCCCCAATATCATCCAATCAAAATCCCTCTACTTATATACTTTCTTTCCCTTTTTTAATCTTTCCTGGATATTGGTTAGAGCCTTGTTCATTCCATCTATTTCACCTGATGTCATCTCGAAACTCCGCTCTTCTATAGGGTACTTATAGGGCTTCCTTATATTGACCCAGGTATCTCTGTTCAACATAGCTTGGTGTATTATGTCTATTTCAGTGGGATCTTTGGAAGCTGCACATTTCTTACGCGAGTCCGATTCCTTTTTGAACTTATCCAGCTGCTTTTTCAAATCAGCGGAAGTTCCTCTCGACACCGCCAGCTGGCTATTAAGTTCAGCCGCGTCTTTTTTCGACTGTGAAAGCTGCTTGCTAAGTTCATCAGCTCGGCTCTGCGACTGTAACAGCTGTCGTCTCAAGTCCGCGTTCTCGTCTTGTTTCTTTGAAAGACTCGCTTTGAGAGCGCTGACTTTCGCCAAAGCTTGCTGGTATTCCTCTCTTAATTCGCCGATCACAGCCTCGTTACTTTCCGTTTCGGCTTGGTTAACTTCCTCCGTCAGCTCTCTTTGCTTACTGGCAGCTTCTGACTTCGCCTTCTGCAGCTGATTCTTGAGATCGACAATTTCTTTGTCCAGCTTCGGCAGCTGAGCTTTGAGAGCTGTCCTCGCGTTATTCGCCTCTGTCAGCTGACCCCGAAGGCCTGAAGATTCCGTCTGCGCGGCCAGCAACTGACCGTTGAGTTCGGCGTTCAGCATCCGGGAGGCTGACAGCTGCTTCTCGAGGTCAGCTCGTTTTTTAGGCCACTCGGAAAGCTGCAAGTTGAGGTCGACAGCTTTGTTCCTCGAATCTGACAGTTGAGCGTTGAGGTCAGCGGCGGTCTTCTCCTGCGAAGTCAGCTGCTCCTTTAGTGAGTCCACCTCATCTTTGGATGCCTTGTACTCGATGGTCAGTTGATCGACTCTGCCTTTCGAGGAATTTTGACGAAGGTTGATAGCGCCCCGCGATCTATTCAGTTGTTCTCTCAATCCCTCCACTTCTGCCTTCGCTTTCGAAAGTTGGTCTCTGAGTTTGTTAACAGCCTCTTTCGATTTTGAAACACGTTCGCGCAGTTCATCGATTTTTCTTGAAGCTTTAGCTAGCTCATATTTGAGATCCTCAACCTCTTTCCTTGAGACCTGTAGCTGATTGCCCAGGTTTTTTCTGTCCTGTGACTTTTGCCTCCTTAAGGTTTCGGATCTCCGGTTCTCCGACTGTTGTCGTTCAAGCTCGTGTATTCCATCAAACTTCTCTTGCACCTGATAGATTGTGATGAATTCGATAGGAGTTATTCCCTCATTGATCGCCCGATTGTACAAACTGTTACGTGCTGACCTCAGATAGCCCAGGGAAACTGTGCAAGCATATTTCGCAGCCAAACCTTGCATGCCCTGCAAACAATAAAAAATAAATTAAAACCTTTCGAGTTCACTGCCAGCAATACGGCCATGCTGAGAAAGAACGCCGCATGAGCCTTCAGACGTTGTCAAATTGCCTCCAGTAAAAAACGAATTTGCCGTGAGAATCTTGAATAATTTCCTTCAAACTTTTTTATACAATTTTGTTCGCAATTTTATCTAAAATATCTGGAAATATTGAGGAAAATTACGAATCATTTTCCTCAAGAATACATGTTTTCTACGGGGAAATTTGGCGACTCTCAAATGGTCTTACGCTGTTACTCCTTAGCACGGCAGAATAGTACACGAACATCACAGCTTGTTTAGGCCTAGCATGATTTTAGCCGTAGCAAGTATTGTGAGGGACACTGAGGAAATAATTTCGCTCCAAAAATGGTAAATATTAAATCATCGTCGTGAAAATTGGTTTTATTAGAAGATAATCTCGATGCTCTAGTTAGATTAGATTAGATAATGCTCTAATTAGATCATTAGATCATTTTCACAAAGAGAGGTTACTTTTAATACGCTTTCGCCTGTTGACTTGTGTGCTAATTTGGATAATTTGTCATGATGTGCGAATGGCGTGTTGCTGAAAATACTTTCGTGTGTTTAATCAACTCAATAAGACCTATTTGGGCTTCTTCAGCAACGAATCAGGAATCTTCATCATGAAGTGTCAGTGTGCATGTTGTTCGTTTAATGAGTTATACATATCGACGGTGTAAGTCGGCAATCACATAACTCGTTTGCGGTGTTTGAAAATCTCCGCCTCCACGTTATTTTTTTAAAGGAGAACAAATTGTCATAATTCCTTGAAGTTTTTGCAGAATTTCCTTCGCACTGAAAAGAAGAATCACGGCAGTTTTGAAGAATTACCGTTGAGTAGTTTTCCGTTTAAAAAATAAAGTATGACAGGAAATCTGCGACGTCGCAAACCGAGTTATGTGATTGCCGACTTACATCGTTGATATACATGTTTTCCACGTCCCACCAATGGATTTTGCCAAAAAAAAAAGAACCAAACTGAGGAATGAACATTAATATGAGACATGGAGCTGATGGAGAAATCCTTCTACCCTCACAAGTGTGTAACTAACAATTGGACTTCATTTTGCAATTCGGAACGATGCAATTTCTGGCTCAGTTTAGAAACAGCGTAGAAACATGCACCATTAATTTCCCTATGTACATAAGTTTTTGCATTTTTTTTTACGGATGAGCCCAAAATTGTAGCTCCTAATTGCAAACTGAAGTCCAACTCTATCTGCTCATCTTCTCCTCCTCCGCTAGTAAAATGTATTCATCGAAAGAAAATATAGCTGCTTAGAGACTTTTTTTCTGTGTTTCTCTTACAAGATTGACTGATAACATAAAGTCAATTGAAATTTTAAATTTTTGACAATTTGGTTGAAATTATAATGTAATTTTTACTATTTTGATACAAAGTAAGTACGAATCGAACGAGTGAGACGAAGGTTTTTTTTTTCTTGCTGATTGGAAAACTGTGCTCACAAGCCGATATTAAAGCAGAATGCTCGCTCTCCTTTGATTGAATATTCGCTTGATCCATCGATATACAGGGTGTTCGAAAAGTCCCCTCCCCCCCCTCTAACTTTTGACCTAATTGAGGTAGAGATTTGAAACTTGGAGGATGTCCCTAGATTAAAGGGAGCTACTTTTTGAGCCCCCCCAAAAAAATTTTGGGGGTCCCCCCCCCTTGGGGGGGTTACGGACCCTAACTAGCATTCACAGGCGCGGCGCGTTTATTGGTATTAAACTGCAAGGTGCTCTGCTATATTTATGGGCACTTCGCAAGAGTAAGGCACTGAAAAAAAATTCTCGGCGTTTTTACCAAGGTCCGTTGGTACCTTTACCATCTCACTTCTTTTACCTATTATTGGTAATTTTACCAAGACAGGCTGGTAAGCTTACCTAAAAACCGGTATTTTTACTGTTTTTTTCGGGCAAGAATACCACTTTTATTGGTAAACAATTCCCGGTAACTTTGCCATTTTATCTCGGTAATTCTACCACAGTTGATAAAAAATATTGGCTTTTTTATCAAGGCCCGGTAAAATTACCGAGAAAGTTCAACAATTTTACCGAGATTTCTCGGTAAAATTACCAATTCCATAAATGGTAATTTTACCAAGAAAAAACTGGGATCAAATAGAACCCTGAATTCTTGGTAATTTTACCCTTTTCTTAGTAAATACACCGAGATTTTTTTTTTTTCAGTGGGAGAGACAAATCCTTTGCGTTTGATTTCATTTACCTGAAATGTATCCATGATGTGATCCTTAAGTTCTGCCGACGGTTTGCACTTGCAAAGTCCTCGCCACGATAACTTAGCAGTTGCAGCAAGCCTGATTCTTCCTTCGAAATTCCTGAAAAACCCATGCGTAACTTTGCAGGTGTTTTCGCACTCATCTTCGGTCATAGTCAGCAAGTCCTTGTAAATCTCCTTTTCATTTGATTGCCCTTGCACTAAAGAGGGGAATGAAACGATGGGTTTCGACGTGTTTAAGGAAAAACGAATCATCTCTAGTATATTATACTAAAAAAATAATGCTTATCTGAGAATTTGCACACAAAAATTGTATTGCTTTATCTGAGAGTGCTTGGTGAGCTGAGTTTGCAGTATTTTTCATATTTTTTCCAGAAATGGAATTTGTAGAAAAAAAGATTTGAAAGTGAGAAAATGTGCCGCCTTGTTACGTCGTCTGGCGGCATTTTCCATTATTTAAACGCAAGTATTTTTGCAGCTTCGGTTTTTTTGTCATATTTCCTCCAATACTTGTTCAATTTCGATACCGAGGATATTCTCTTGCTCAGTTTTCCCAGTAATTTCATTTGAAATATAATTCTTACCAAATTTCTGACACATTGCAAATTCTCCATTTAAGGGAACATGCCAAAACGGAAATATTTTTTTTGTTTACGGACTCGGCTCTCCTTTTTTTTACACTTATGACCATAATAAATGTAATTTTAATTGAAAAATTGTAACTGTCGAGAAGAATTGGACATTTCGCAATTTGGAACTATAAATTCTGGCTCATCTGAAAAAACACTTATGTGCATAGGGAAACTAAAGGCACATACGTTGTGTTTATACCGGGCCAGAATTTATAGTTCCAATTTCCCAAAATTGCAAAATGCAGTCCAATTAGCAATGGTTATTAATTGTAAAGCATGTTCATAATATAAAACAAGTTTTAAAAAATTAAAAATCAGTAAATAATGCAGAAAAGATACTTATTGGAGGTTAAAAATGATTGGTACTTTGAAAGGTTTGAAATGATAAGAAAATAAGGAGAACGCATTTTAATATTATTTTATAATGAAGCTCTGTACGTTTTATTTACACTGGGCGTAAAATGACATGATACACAGTGATTCAAATACATATAACCAAGAATAAAGTATTATTGTATGAAACATAAACGAAATATTTACTCACTTGCGAAACTGGGCTGATCCAGGAGTGTTGAGAGACTCGAAATTATTAGAAGTAGAGGACATAATTTCATTTTTAGATGTTTAAGAAGGTATGGATAAAAAAAATTTGATCAGATCTAGTTCACTTCTTATTTTGCATACCCCAAGCAAGGTAATTGAAAATAGATAAAATCACGTAATCGAAAAACTAGATATATTTCACGAGGAAGGGTCACGAGGAAGGGTTACGAGGAAGGGTCACGAGGAGCATTTAAAGAAGAGAGTCTTATTTTTTATACACCAGTAATCATCACAAAAGAAAAGAGAATGTAAATGTAAAATTATCGAAAAAAAGATACGACGTCAATCGCACTAGTATCGTGGAACGATGAGTCAGTTATCAGTATTCGCACCTCACTTCGCAGTGTTTTCAGTACGTTGATCTAGATTAAAGGTCTAAATGAATGTGATCCATTCTAAAACTGTACCGTTTTTCAATGTCAGAATCGGACATTTTTTTCACATTCAACGGCAGAAACGGCTCCATTTAATGACGAATGGTGAAAAAACTAAATTGAAAAAAAAAAAATCAAGCCCCATTCACCTGTAAAAAACTGCACGAATTTGAAGTAAAAAATTAAAAATCTTCCCTCAGCGACTAAACTCGCAGACCTGTTTCAAATTAAAAACTGAACTCCATGAGAAGATAAGTCGTATGCGTGACAAATTCTAACGATCCCTGCAATGGGTTGAAGGTCGAAGTAAAAAACAGGCAGGAAGCTCCAACGCATTCGCGTCGGAGAGCGGCTCTGGCGACAGTAGTTGTAGTCAAGAATGAGGGCCTAGACACATTTTGTCACTGATGTATAATCCGACAACTGTCGATTCATGTTTTGTAACTTAGCAGATTTACGTAGCCGGTGTATAAATGTGTATTGGCCCTTGATATGCAGAATGCATGGCACTATCATTTGTTGTATACTTTTAATTTTGAAGGCTCTTTGGAGGTCCGCATCCTAAAAAATTTCTCCTACAGTATTTTTTTTAACTTGTCGTTGTGATTGGGCGCCAATTTCTTTCAATTGAGTGATCATCTTCTTTTTTTGTCAAATAACTAGTTTGTGCAACAATAAGACTGAAACTGACTGTAACTGAAATTTTGTCTTTTTAGATATTTGGTTATTTTGTATTTATTAGATTGTATATTTTCACAGCCCTGTGATAAGAAACTTTGGAATGCATGGTTGATAAGTCGTTTAGGGAGGCTGCAAAAAATTTGCATTTTTATATCTGAAATTGTAGGTAATGGTTTTGAATATCGAATTGCGATATATTACACGATTAAGATACGGCTATATGTCTTGTCGTAAGCGGCGACATAGAGTCGATGTCATTTCAATAATCGCCCCGATGGCCACGGTAGTTGTGTGCCGTCTGCCCACGTAGCAAATGGGAGGCGAAAATGGAAGTCATCAGTGCATCGGTGAGTGTTGAACGTGAAAATTGCGCGGGCCGCGCAAATTTCGCGATCATCGATGTGTCGGGGCTGAGCATCCATCATTTTCTATCTTGTTTTGAAGCTATGTGAGTTGTGATAAAGTACATAATTTTTTTGTATTATATTACTGTATAAATAGTGTAAAATTTGTACAGAACTTTGTACAAAATAGTTTCTTGTAAAAAGTGTGGACTACTGCCACGTCGTTTCCATACAAACTCCCAATACGCCGCAAGTACCACAAATGCCCATGTTAACCAAATCACCTCATCATCCATTTTTTAAGGACACAATTTTTAATTCAAATCAACTTACTTTATCAAAACTCCAATCGTTTATCAAATAACATATATCGAGTCATTTTAACAAAATCAAAGACGGCATAATATCATTTATCACACAGCCAAAAACCTAACCTAGAAACCACGATGTTTACAAACTCAAATTGGAGAACACTCATTGGTCCAATAATAAAAATTGATTTGCCGCCTTTTTTCTTTGCAAGCAAAACGTGTGAACATGTCTGAAAATGGGATCGGGCGTCAACACTCAACGATGCACTGATGACTTCCATTTTCGCCTCCCATTTGCTACGTGGGCAGACGGCATTAGACGTTTACGGTTTCCTTGGTAACCTTTGTTTGCTATCAGCTGATATCGAGTAATATGACTAGGAAGCTCCAACCCAGTGGTTGGAGCTTCCTTAACCGCGAAAACTTTAAAATTCAAATTTTCAAATTTTGAACGTAAAGTACATTTTTTCCATCACGAGATTAAAGCACAGACAAGTTTTGAATTATTGACTGTATCACCATGATTCCAAAAATACACTACACAACATAGCATTGGCTAACAATAAAACAATATGCAATAAAATAAAGTCATGACAAGGAACATAGCCGAAAATGGCGCCGATTCCCATTAACCAACGCGCGGTCTCTCCAATGTAACATGGTCCAATGATACTCCCCAGCTGGGACCGTCCGGAATAGCAGCTCTAGTGCAAGCACCAGAGCCGCTAA